ATATCAGCTCATGAATGCCGCGAACATTGAACGATGGTCGAAATCCATACAATACATACCCCGATACTATTGCCCATTGATTCTGCACAAATCTCCGCAAAATCTCTTAGCAAACAGCCATAGTACAGTCCATAGAAGAGCATGGTAGTTACGACCTCCATGGCGTACTGGCGTGCCTTGACATCTCTATTCATCGCCGCACCCCCACCAAACAATATGAGCATGAACAGTATATACCCAGCCAAGCCCACGCCATAGCAGAGCTTATACATCATAAGAAAGTAGTTGTACACCAACTTCGGTGTACGCGAGTGCAATGGCTTGCGTGTCGCCTTGAAGGAGATCCAACCAGTGAGGATACTGAATATGGTCCACACCGTCAGCATCTGGTTCAGACTGTTCCTGATACTGAACCACACGGGCACTACCCACATGGCGAAGAGAGTATACCTGAAGTTGACAACAAAAGGGAGTGTTACTCTATGAAGTATATACATATACAAGATAAATCTACCGGAGGGCCCGATAGATGAATTGAAATTATGTCGTGAAGATATAAGAAGTGGTGAAGCGTGTTTACCTGAAGTATAAGTATACGGTTATTTAACGTATGGCACAAATATATGATTTGGACGAGAGTAGGGTACGGTGGTCCGGGGGTTCCAAATGTTACTTTCATCGCGTATGTGCGCTTCCGACTGTTGATACTGCCACTCCAGATTACAGGTAACATATAGATATTGCATTAGATCAAAACGAACTAAATGAATAAACTAGAATATTATTTTTCACTAAACCGACTAACACCCGCTTATATACTTATCTACGCCTCACTGTTACATCCTACATATAATCTGAACACTCGTATGTTTTTGCCTATACGAAGATTCTGAACAAACACTCCTCATATACCTCTTGTATGATTTCTCGTTGTGTTTCTTCCACAGCATCAGTAAAAACTGTGCACCGATTGTCACCAGCATGATTATAAAGAACATCTCTGCGTGCATGGAGTCGTGGCCTTCGTGTTCTTTACGGAACGCCAGTACTTCCTGTTTGACTTTGAGGCGACGTATCTGCGTACGAGCGATAACGAATAAGGAAGTTGATTTAAATGACAATTGTTAGAGGCACGCAATGGGTGGTGTATGTATATTGGCACGTGCACAAAAATTCGAGAATGGATGCCTGTCACATCCGTATCAATTATATTATTTATGCGAAATCAGGATCCGGGTACGGAGAAGCTAGAAACACCGTATTTCCTAGATTCGAGTGCGCATTTCAATATACACAATAGATTTTCAATGTACATAACCATCTATCTTTATGACCATCTACTGCACACATAGATATTTATGTACTAAGCAGTCATGGCAAGTTTATATTCCTTTACGATAACATTTCTAACAGGTGTATATTCCTTCACAAGCAGTGTTTCTGAAAAGTACCTATCAAAGTAGATAAGTATTTTGAGTCGCGTACACGCGTACAAAAGGACCTAGAGCACACTTGAGGAGTGGTTTTACATCCATATGCATATTAACACGGAATATTCGTGTCATAGCTTTCATATACATTGACATATATACATTCGGCCTTCACATGTGTGCGTATAGACAAAATACCCGAAAAGATACAGGTATGTGTTTGAGCACATAAATATAGTCATAATGCATATATATATATATATATATATTGTCACATATACACATATAGGATTATATATCTATACAAATATATACAATCACATACATAGATATTTATATAGATATAAATATAAATTTAGATCTATATATATATATATTTATGTATATATATATATATATGTGTGTGTGTGTGTGTGTGTGTGTGTGTAGTAATTATTTG